TACACGCCTATCAGCACGGTGATCCCATTCTCAAGGTGGGGAAACAAAATAGTCGGGGCCCTACCCATGGGGTCCGCGAAGAGGAAGTACATAATAGTCGCCATAGACTATTTTACAAAGGGGGTCGAGGCCGAGCCCCTCGCCACCATCACGAGCACCCGGTGCACGGCGTTCGTACGAAAAAACATCTTGTACCGCTTTGGAGTCCCCATACAAATCATCTCCGACAACGAACGGCAATTTGAGAGCAGAGAATTCAAGGAGTTCTGCGACCAGTGGTACATAAAACACACCCGCGTGGCGGTGGCATACCCACAGGAAAACGGACAGGTGGAGAACGCCAACCGAACTATAGTGGACGGCATCAAGAAGAACCTAGACGCAGCCGGAGGTACATGGGTGGAGGAGTTGGACACCATTCTATGGGCATACCGCACCACCCCAAGAAGTGCCACCGGGGAAACACCGTTTGCGCAGGCAAACGGGTTCGAAGCACGGGCCCCCACCGAAGCCGCGATACCATATTATCGGGTCGCAGTGTACGACCCCGACCTCAATGAGGACAGAAGGGAGGACGCCATAGTTCGCGCGGAAAATTACCAGCACCAGACAAAGGCATACCACGACAACGGAGTGCGACCTCGCTACTTTCAGGTCGGCGATTATGTCCTTCAGAGGAGGGAGGCAAGTTCGCCAAGAAGTGGGAAGGACCATATGAGGTTGAAGCCATAGTACGCCCGGGCAGCAACAAGTTGAGGACCCCGTCGGGCAAGACGGTGGACAGGGTGTGGAACTCGGAGCACTTGCTAAAATTCTACCTGTATAAGCACATTTGTACGGCCTGGCCACCCCCAATAACGACCCAACCACCCAATAATGTTGTTTTCGATCGTAATGGAATAATGAATTTCGTTGAGCAAGTATCCTACCCCGAGTTGTGGAGGAGCACGGTCACACGCGAGGTCGGGCACCGCGGGGCCGGCCTCCTCAGGGTCGGCCAACACGAGGTCGGCCGACCTGAGGACGGCCATCCCGGGGTCGGCCCCCGGGAAGGCGGCTGCGTGCGCGGCGACCAGCTTAGACGTAGCACACACCCTAGGGGCGGTACGAGGTCCGACCTCACCTATCGCAGAATGGGAGGGTTCGGGGAGCGAGTCAAAGGACTCCAACCCCAGAATCGCTAAAACGTCCTAAGGGCGGTACGAGGCCCGGCCTCGCCTACCGCCGAACGGGCGTAACGCATTCTTAACTCCCTAGGGGCGGTATGGGGTCCGACCTCGCCTATCACCGAACGAAATGGTTCAGGGCGCTAGTCAAAGGACTCCAACCCCGGAATCGCTAAAACGTCCTAAGGGCGGTACGAGGTCCGACCTCGCCTATCGCCGAACGGCCGTAACGCAATCTTCGCACCCTAGGGGCGATATGAGGTCCGACCTCACCTATCGTCAAATGGAAGGATTCGGGATGCGAGTCAAAACACTCCAACCCAAGAATCGCTAAAACGTCCTAAAGGCGGGACGAGGTCCGACCTCGCCTATCTCCGAACGGGCGTAACGCAATTTAGATACCCTAGGGGTGGTACGAGGTCCGACCTCGCCTATCGTCGAACGGGGGGAGTCGCCCAAGTGCGGTGACTTGGAGTCATAGGGCTACCCTAAGGGGAGCATGAGGTCCGACAGCGTTCGCCACTCGACAAGGTCTTGGCCGACTTCCCAAGGAGGTCTCGACCGACCTCTCGAAGAGGTCTCAGTCGACCTCTCGAGGAGGTCTCGACTGACATCTCGGGGAGGTCTCGATCGACTTCTCGGGGAGGTCTCGGCCAACCTCTCGAAGAGGTGACGACTAACCTCTCGGGGAGGTCTCGACGGACCTCTCGAAGATGTCTCGGTCGACCTCTTGAGGAGGTCTCGGTCGACCTCTCAAGGAGGTCCCAACCGACCTCTCGAGGAGGTGTCGGCTGACCTCTTAAGGAGGTCTCGGCTGACCTCTCGAAGAGGTCTTGGCCGACCTCTCGAGGAGGTCTCGGCCGACCTCTCGAGGAGGTGTCGGCCGCCCTTTTATGAACACCCCAGAGTCCTTGTAGCTCAACACGGCTGCTTTCAAAGCCTCCTCATGCGCCCAGCGCTCCCGCGCATAGATGGCAATCAACTTGGCATACTTTCCCGCCAATGCCGCACCCCATGGCCTTGTCCGCCGCCTCACACTCTTTGCGACCCCTCATCTCGGCCACCAGCTGCGCCCGAAGGGTCCCCAACACGCTCTCCATGGACGCCGCTCGTGCGACAGCTTGCACAACAGCAAGCATAGTCAAAGGATGAAACGTTAAAACACGATGGGGGTCCGTAATTATCAAGCATTTGGTACTCTCTTGGGCTGACAACTTCTCGCAACCCCGAGAGTGGGGGACTGATGATGGAATAATTACGGAGCGGACCTGGAGGGAAGAAATGTGAAGCGGATCACACCCGGCACCTAGTGGACTACGCACGCGGTCGGACAGACCATGGAGGGGTCTACCTCCCCGGGGTCCTCGACTACTACCACGGGGTACTCGGTTACTATCACGGGGTCCCCGGGTACTGTGCACATGGAGTGACGAATCACCCCGAGGTCGACCAACATGGGCTCGGCACCCCGGGGTCGGCATACGTAGGCCCGACCACCACGGGGTCGATCGGCGCACCCTGGGTCGGCCAACGCGGGGTCGGCTACCCTTTCGGGTCGGCCGGGACGGGGTCCCTGCGTTGTCCGAGTCGTGTGGCGGCAGTTGCGACTCCTCCCGCGTACCCCGGGCCACGCTTTGGACCCGGTCCCGAGCTAGGACGCGGTCAAAGCGCCAGATTCAACCATCCCCCAGTTTAGGGGGAGCGGTTAGAGGTTTGTAGCATATAAAAACCCCTCACCTTGTCCTAACAAGGGACACTTGATTTCTATCTTACACACTTAGTTCTAAACTATCATTGTAACAGCCCGACTATTATTATAATACAATCTACGTTTTTCACGACCTTACAACATCGTATTGCTTACGTATTTAATTATTATATTCAATCATATTTTCGGGTTGTATAATCCGAACCCCGGGTTCATATAATCCATGAATCCTTTATCTCTTTTAACTTGGTAGAATAATCATTGCTTCGTTTAAACTTACAAATACAAAAGTAGGATTGGCAAACTTAGAAATTAAATTACATTTTTTTTATTATTACTATTATTTTATAATATCGTTTATTTTGGTTGGGGTATGAAATAAAGGAATTATGAAATGGGGTGCTGTCATTGTAGGTTTCCAAGATTGCCGAAAAGTCTAATTATATATATTATATTGTTTTTGAATTTTCTCCGTCTATCAAAGAAAGCAGTTATCAAATTGGTCACTTGTTTTTCGATCATCTCATCAGAGTGGAATTTAAACGTACACCTTTACACTCATCAATTCAATCTTTATATATAATCCGAAAAATAATATAGTTCAGTCTATGCATCAGTGGGAACACAACACAAGAAAGGCTTATTGAGTTGACTTGAATAGCCAGCCAGCCCATCAACAAAGAAAATAATCAAAATATTAACTCCGCAAGATTACTGAATTCGGTAGACTACTTGAACTAGTCACAATTTTAATTAATGATAGGATGGAGCTTCGACTCCTATTATCTTACCAATAACATCTTTGAGCTAGTAGGACTTTTCATACTAGAATTTGGACACTTGAACTTTCTAAGTTGGCGAAAGTGTGGAGATAAATTCTTTGTGCCCAAGGGTGATTTAAAGTAACATCAGTTGGTTTTTCGATTTTTTTTTTTGGTGAGTTTTTACAAAGATGACATGGAAAGAGAAAATGGAAGAAGGAGAAAAAAAAATAGAAAAAAACATTTTACGGCCCAGCTGACGCGTGCAACGCACACACCATGTTGGGCTCGACGCAGTACTTTTCATGCGCAATTTGTGTGTTTCTTTCTCCAGCTTTCCCGACTAATGAGGCCCACAAAAAACTTAAATTTGCATAAATAAAAGAGTAAATACCCAAAATGGTCCCTCAACTATAGCTAAATTCACAAATTGATCCTCAACTTTCAATTTTAACCAATTAAGTCCTTAACTTTGCAATTTTAACACGATTTGGTCCTCCGTCTATTTGACCATTTGTTGACCGTGATCTCTGAGGATATATATGTAATTTCATAGCCGCCCGTCCTCATCCGCTACCGTGACACAGTCTATCGCCCAGCCACAAGCCACTGCCCAGCCACCCTCATCTACTGCCATGACACACTCCACCGCCTAGCCTTCACCTACTGCCACGACACAATCCACCGCCCAAGTACCTTCGCATAGTTCATCATTGTCGGCGCTACAACCCAATTTGCAATCTTCATCAGGTCCAACGCCAAAACAACCGTGTCTGAGTCTATTGGGCGGCGCCGCGATTCTCGTGTCCAACAAGAAGCGCGATTCAGGTCGGACCAAGTACCGGTTCATGCAAGTGGTCCGCACGCACAAGGGCGTCGACGATAAAGCCTACCGCTGCGTTTACGAGCAGGAAGATTTGCTGGAAATGCAACCGGAACCTTAAAAACCCAACGATGGACCATGAAATTACATATATATCCTCAAAAATCACAGTCAACAGACGGAGGACTAAATCGTGTTAAAATTACAAAATTAAAGACTTAATTGGTTAAAATTGAAAATTAATGATCAATTTGTGAATTTAGCTATAGTCGAGGGACATTTTGAATATTTACTCTAAATAAAAACCCAAGAAATCTCACATTCTCATTTGTTCAAAAACCACCATCTAATATTTTCTCCTTAAAAAATGTCTCCAAAATGCACAAATAGAGTTGCTCTTACTAGAACAATACAAGTACCATTTTTCTGACCCTCCTTTGATAAATGTACACGTGTGAACCTTTTGGTGTGGTGGGGGTCCCACTTTCGTCTCACCTCACACCTATATATCCCCCTGCGTTTGGATAAATGTTTCTCATAATTTTCCTCTAATTTTGACACTTGCAGTGCAGTTAACTAAACCACAACCCCATCCAATATAATAGCCTTCTTCGACTCTTTGTTGTGTGACCCCTAAGTCCTAACCATGCCGGGGGCGGGATTTTCAGCTCCGGGAGCCGGAGGCGGCCAGCATTTTGAGGCCAAGATCACCCCCATAGTCATCATCTCCTGCATCATGGCCGCCACCGGCGGCCTTATGTTTGGCTACGATGTTGGAGTTTCAGGTAAAGATATAGGGGGTGTTTGGTAAATAGTTGTTAGCTGATTCGATTATATGTTTGACTAATTGATAGCATTAATTAATAGCTGATTATATGCAAAATGTCTTTCTTTTTCAGGTGGTGTTACGTCAATGGATCCATTCCTGAAAAAATTCTTTCCGGTGGTGTACCGGAACACGAAGAATCCGAATCTAAACAGCAACTACTGCAAGTACGACAACCAAGGCCTGCAACTGTTCACATCGTCGTTGTACCTGGCGGGTCTCACCGCCACATTCTTTGCTTCTTACACCACCAGACGCCTGGGGAGGAGGCTCACCATGTTGATCGCCGGCTGCTTCTTCATTCTCGGCGTCATCTTAAACGCTGCGGCTCAAGACTTGGCTATGCTCATCATTGGCAGGATTTTGCTTGGATGTGGGGTTGGTTTTGCTAATCAGGTACTTCTTCTTCTTCTTTCTATTTTTTTTTTTTTCTGATTTTATTAACTCTTAGTTCAAGATAAAATAATGTTTTGATATGAGCATTGTAATATGCTTACTTCTCGGTAGATAACTACCATAAGTTAAGTACTACAGAATTTTTAGATTAACTATTTCAACCACATTCTTCTATAATCTATATTAAGCAATAAGATTATGTCTCTAATCGACTAGGTCAGGAGATTAACTCGACCGACCCCCAACAAATAAGATGCACAAAAGTTACTACTACATACATAAATGTTTAATTAGTTTCAATTTTTGTTTTCATTACATGTTTTACAATTTATATATATATATATATATATATATATATATATATGTGTGTGTGTGTGTGTGTGTGTGAGAGAGAGAGAGAGAGAGAGAGAGAGCTATTTTGTAATTAAGAGAATACAAGTAGGAGTACTATCTTGTGAGGTTCGCAATGCACTGAGTCAATGATAGCTAGGTAGCTTGTCTAAAAAAAGTGGGGCCATATAGGACAATATTATAAATTTAAGGAGTATAATATATATTAAGGGCAAAATTGTCCCAACAAGGAATTCAAGTGTGTGAACATACATGCATGTGGTGATGAATTTTGCAATTAAGAAAAATGATTTTTTTTTTTTTTGAAAAGAAGCTTTTGTTTCCTTGCATTATCTTGTCTTAGCTTTAGTCCAAAATCTACTAAAGCTTTGTTTCTAAATTCACTTGCTTTTTCAGTATTGCATTGTTGAATTGTTTTACACGTGATGGAGATTCCTTCTCTAAAATCAAACATGTAGTCTAGACTTTTAATTTTGAGGTGAACATGCAAGTCCATTGGAAACTTAATTCAATAATGTATTTTCTCCTTTAAAATATTAAATATTATTTTCTTATTTAAAGCTGTGTTAAAAATATATTAACCCTTTTCTCCTTTGATTATAAAAAGTTCATAACTATTGTCTTCTTCTTCTTCTTCTTTTTTTTTTTTTGTTTTTTTTTTTAACTTTTATTAAAGAATTTTCAAATTAATGGTATTGTTGATAAGTAAAAATGTTATTTTAAAAAATAAAAAATAAAAACAAACATCAAGCCATGGATTGAGATTTTGAGAGCTTAGAATTAGTTTAGCGTAAATTTAAAAATCTATTGTATTAAAAAAATAATCATTTTGTGATGGGTTATATATATATATATATATATATATATATATATATATATATATATATATATATATATATATATATATATATATATATATATTACTTATTTAATCAAACTCTTCACATTCATTTTTAATATATTAATGTCACTTTTACATGCAATATTGTAAAATTGTTTTATTTAATTAAAGACAAAAAGTGTAACTTTTTCTTTTTTGATATTTTGAAGGATAAAGTTATTAGCTTTAGCAACTAATCAAGAGACATGCTTTCAACATTTGACAATTAATAATGAGTAAAATTACTGTATATTTTATTATTTTAAAATATACAGTAATTTTACTAATTATATATAGTTTAAAATAATAATCTATTTTTAAATTTATTTCTTTCACCTACTCATGATTCATGATTGTTTTGTCATTTCAACTGGCCATATAATTAAACGTGTCGACGAGGCAAATTATTAAGTGGGAACATGTGGACCTGTGATGATTGCATAATTGTACGTTGAATAATTTTGCATAATTGCACGTTGAATTGTCATGATCGCGATATGTAACAGATTGCTAAGGTCATGCCAATAACACCCATGTTTAATGTGGAATATTCTATTTCTACTTTTTAAAGTATATACTCATTTTATTGACTGACAAAAAGTTTTTTTAAAAAAATAGAGCTAAGGATAAAACAAGCTATGAATATTATGACACATACCTTTTTATTTGACAGTAGGTAATTATAATAGTTTTTTTTTTTTTTTGAACATCAATTATAATAGTTTATGTTAAGTGAAATTTTATTATGAGAAAACTCTATTATTTTATATTTCATTTTGATGTACAAAATATATTTATTTATAGTAAAAAAAATGCTTATTATTAAACAACTAATGTATGCTAAAGATCTTGTGATCAAACGTCATATATAATTTATAACTTTTTTAAATAGGAGGTCTCAGATTTGAATACCAATGGAGACATTGACTCTTTAAAATTTTAATTATATATGCATAGTAACTTAAATTATTGATATTAATATTAATGTTTTTAGTGAATTGCAAATAAAATAAAATAAATAATTTTTGGGTGCAATTCAGGCAGTTCCTCTGTTCCTATCAGAGATAGCGCCCACAAGGATACGTGGAGGACTTAATATTCTCTTCCAACTTAATGTCACCATTGGGATTCTGTTTGCTAATCTCGTCAACTATGGAACAGCCAAGTAAGTCATTTTATTATTTATTTAACTAAATTCTAAAATATATATATGTCGCTACCATGTTCAGTTAATATCTTTAAATTAAGTATATCTAGGATTAAATTGAATTGGTAAAAAATGATTTTACTGTGCTATAAAACTTTAAATTATATTACAACATAAATAAGTTATTTTAATTCTAAAAATAAGGTTTTGTTCATATAATAATTTGTTATTTGTGCCTTCGACTCATATTTTGTGGTGTTTGGTAAATAGTTGTTAGCTGATTGGGTTAGTGTGTTTGACTAGTTGATAACATTAAAGGATTGTTGAAAGATATTTGATAAATTAGCTGTTAGTTTATAGCCTATTACATGCATACCAAATGATTTTCTCTAAAAGCTAAACGAAAAAACTATTTTGAGTAACTTTTTTTGAAATCAAGTGTTTTAAACAATAAACTGTTACAAAAAGTTAATTAATCAAACACTCATAACCAAGTCAAACAGTTAATACTAATCAAACAAGTCAAAATTGACTAATAAGCTAACTATTTTACCAAACAAAAAATTTAACTTTTTTATTTTTAATTTATTTTTTAAGTAGGCATACCAAATATATTCTAAATGTTATTATTTTTTTTTTTTTTGACTTAACTCAATTCCCATGGACCATGGTCCTATATATGCGATGCGATGCGATGCTAACTTTTCTAATGATTTTGAACTTATCTTTATCTTAATGACGCAAGAAGTGAAGTTTGTGAATTCAACGTGTCAAGATATCCTAATATGAGTGATAGAAATTAAATGTCAACTTTAGTGTGCAGTGCATTCTCAATCGTGATCTAGTCTAGTATATAATATTAATATTAAAATTCAATTCAATTATTCAATGTAGTTTAATTTGCATCATTAATTGGTGAATTTAATATAATTTGAATTCCTGAATTTGTGGCCCTCAACCTATACTATGAGTCTATGACCAGACCAGCCATTGCACATGCAGCCGGTAGAAACCTTGAGTAATGAATAATGGCTAATTCATTGGACCACTGTACATATATAAAGCCTAGCTACAAGCTATATATGTGTAAATTAGTTGTGGTTTGTATTTTGGGAGTGATTACTTTGGACTCTGTAGATTCAATGAGGGTACTATACACTATATATTTATATAGTTAGTGTTGTATAATTAGGTTCTATTAGTGTCTACAAAAGTCTAAAGAAAAATTATCTAATGAGGTCGTCTCACGGATTCTTATCTATCCATGAGACGAGTTCAATTTTTGATAAGTATTGCATTTTCTATATAAATATTATAATTTTCATCATAAGTAATTATATTCAATTCTTAATATTACATTTTGATTTAAAAGTGTTATATTTTTCATGAAAAGTATCGCATTTTTTGTCATAAATATTACGCTTTCTCTCATAAGTATCAATTAAAATATTTATCCGTAGTTACTATTAAATTTTTTCTTATAAGTAACTATTTAACCTAAATATTGCATTCTGATTTAAAAATATTACATTTCCCTTCAAAAGTATTATACTTCCCTATAAGTAGCAAACAATCTATTCCGGATTAGTATTACATTTTCCAGCATAAAATATTACATTTCCATCATGATTCAACCCGGTTCACAGATAAGGATTCGTGATACATTCCCACCAAAGACTCACTCATATCCAAATCTATCTTAGGGTGTGTTTGAAAATTAAGAAAATGACTCCTAAAAATTGTTTTCTATAAATATGTCATTTTCTAAAAAACATTTTCATTTCTCGTGTTTAGTTGCATTCCAGAAAACTGCTTTGGTGTGTTTGGTCCATTTTTTGTCTTTCACGTTTTAAGTAACAAAAAGATTATTGATGATGGTAAACTAGTATTAATATTTTTGAAATTTATTAATAGCTAGAAATAATTAAGTCAGATCGAAGAACAAGTGAACATATTTTCTTATTTCCTAACAATTTAATTTAATCTAGAACTTTTATTTTTATATTATTTGTTACTTAGAATGAACAAGTGATTTAATTAAGATTTGTATGATTACATTTGCAGAATCAAAGGAGGATGGGGGTGGAGACTATCACTAGGGCTAGCAGGATTCCCAGCACTTCTACTAACATTAGGCGCCATCTTCGTGGTCGACACTCCTAACAGTTTAATCGAACGTGGGCACCTGGACGAGGGAAAGAGAGTTCTCAGAAAAATCCGAGGAACTGACAACATTGAACCTGAGTTCTTGGAGCTTGTGGAGGCCAGCCGTTTAGCCAAGGAAGTTAAACACCCTTTCAGAAATCTGCTCACCCGTAGAAACCGACCCCAGTTGATCATTGCCGTCTTTCTGCAGGTCACTACCTTTCTTACTCAAACCTATCACTTTTAATTCCTACTTATTTTGAAAGACTAATGTTATTATTCACCCTTAAAAAAAAAAATTCATCCTACATGACATTATTTGATTGGTTACTTTACTTATTAATTAAAAGTTAATGGGGTTGGGGCATTCAGCTAATTCATGACACCCAATAAACCATATCATGGAGAGAATTTAGAATGGGAAAAATTAAGAAGGGTAAGAAGAGTTTTGCATTTTGGAAAATAATGGAAAAAGAGATTAATATATAGACCCCTTGAACTTTACTCGAAAATAAATTAAATTCTTAAATTGTTAAAAGTTACAATTAAACTCACTAACATGTTATTTTAGTGTGTTGAAACTCAAAAATCGGTTAGTGACTTGCAATAGGGTTCTCGTGACCCTCCGATGCTATTCCTACCACATTTCAATGACAAATATTGGTTGCCAATCGCCGTTAAAGAAGGTGAACATCTGGGTCGCCTTTTTCAACCGCGATTGACGACGAGTGTTTGTTTGCCGGAATATGGTTGGAATAGCGCTAGAGGGTTGTCAGAATCTTAATGACTTGCTATTGTAGGTCACTGACTGATGTTTCAGTTTCAATGCATCAAAATAAAATATTCATGGACTTATTTGTAACTTTTAAATGTTTGAGGGCTTCTTTTTTAGTAAAGCTTTGGGCCTATTTGACTTTTTTTCAAAAATAATTAAGAGTTTTTATTTTAAATATAATTTTGTTTCTTCAATTTCAACAGATCTTCCAACAATTTACCGGAATCAACGCGATTATGTTCTACGCGCCGGTCCTATTCGCGACGCTGGGATTCGGGAACGACGCAGCGCTCTACTCCGCAGTCATCACCGGAGCCGTCAACGTCCTCTCCACCGTCGTATCGATCTACTCCGTCGACAAACTCGGGCGGCGCTTGCTCCTGCTAGAGGCCGGAATCCAGATGTTCATATCCAACATCGCCATCGCCATCATCCTGGGAATCCAGGTCTCGGACCACTCCGACAACATGGGCCACGGGTGGGGGATCTTCGTGGTGGTGATGATATGCACGTTCGTGTCGGGCTTCGCGTGGTCGTGGGGCCCGCTGGGGTGGCTCATCCCTAGCGAGACCTTCCCGCTGGAGACACGGTCGGCGGGGCAGAGCGTCACGGTCTGCATCAACTTGCTCTTCACCTTCGTCATGGCGCAGGCCTTTCTCTCCATGCTGTGCCACTTCAAGTTCGGGATTTTCTTGTTCTTTTCGGGCTGGATTTTGATAATGTCGTTGTTCGTGCTGTTCTTGGTGCCGGAGACGAAGAACGTGCCGATTGAGGAGATGACGGAGAGGGTTTGGAAGCAGCATTGGTTGTGGAAGAGATTCATGGATTACAATGTGGATGAAGAAATCGGGGATAGTACTTATGATGATCTCAAGAAGCATGGCCAAGTTAAGAATTTTGATCCTGCTTCACAGTTGTAAAGAAAAGAAAAGAAAGAAAAGGTTATATATATTATTACAAGTTTGATAGGACTAGAACATATATAGTTTAATTTCTACGAAAATAAGGTAGGAGTAATAATTTTGCTATTAGGATTTTTCACAGTATATGCAAGAGAAGTACGGAATAAATTTCCTTAATTCAGCTGTCAAGAAAGCTCTATCTAATCAGTTTGTTAGGAGGGCAGGGTTAGGCAAATTATTATTTGGACCCGTGTCCACCTTGCAAGGTGGACCTAGGCTCAAAAAATACATAATTTATATATTGGATGTTCACAATTTTATATATTAAATGTTTACAATTTACATATTGAATGTTCACAATTTTATACACTAAATGTTCACAATTTACATACTGATTCTTATCTACATATTATGTGTCTGTAAATAAATTGAAAGCACACATAATATATTAATTACACGCACATAATATGCAGTTAACATATTGTGCATTCAATTTATTAGAAGCACATAACTTGTTAACTGTAAGTACATAATATGTTAACTGAAGACACATAATTTTTGGATCAAGATTCACAATGCAAGGTGGACCAGGATTGATGGTAGGATAATTGCCTTTATACAATGCAATCTTTTCATAAGTTTTCTCATGATGCATATATGATCATTAAACATAGGTTGGGATATTGCAAGAGTAGAATCATGTGAAGCTATGCTAAGTCCGTTCACCTCTTGGTCTACTAGGATTCCTCTTGGCTTAGAACACTTTTAGGTGACTAAGTACTAAAGAGACATTTCATCGAACACCTTTCCTACACTTCATTCTTAGCTTAGGCCTCTCGGATCTTAAAATTAGAAAATGCCAAAGAATTGGAGCTTCAAGTGATCTAGCAATCTCTTGCCTAGATCACTTGCTTAGATAAACTCAAGGAGTTGGTCTGACTCCACAAGAAGCATACAAGATATTCATGGCAACACAACTCACAAACAATTGCAATATCTAAACCTAATTATGAATTGTATCTCACATTGGCATCATGATTAAGATTCACAATCCAAATCCTATCAAAAGCCTAGCCACACATAGCTAGATGAAATAACAATGCAAAATGAATTGAAATAGAAATAAAAGTAGGAAAGCAATTAAATTGTACCAAACTAGAATGTAAAATGGTGTCTTCTCCTACAAGGGATCTTGAATGAAAGGTTGTCAAGCTTCTTCTCCAAGATCGTCAAGCTATGTGAGTCTAGAACCCAAATTCTAGAGAGAGAAAGTAAATCTATTGTGTCTCCCCTTTCTCTCCTACTTTCAGAATGTCCAGAAAAAAAAAAAAAACAAAAAAACAAAAAAAAGAAACTCCTCTCCTGGTGGAAATTTCCCCAAAATTAAACGTTCCTTTCACGCCCAGGAAATGACCCGGTCAACGCATCGTTACACACGCGTGGATCGGGTCGTGGATTCTGAATTTAAGCGATGCCTTGAACCGGATATTGTTGCCTTCGTCCTACGCTTCGATCCACGTATGTGGGGCGGCCTCGTGGATCCTTCTGTTTCTTCTCCACGAGCTGTTCCACGCACGTGGATGGTCCCAACACATCTCCGATTTTGCCCTTTCCTTGTGATGCTCCGTTTCATGCTCATATGCCTCATTTTCAAGCTTAAAACCTTCATAAATAATAAAAATACAAAGTATTGTGGTGTTTTGTGGCACATTAGCAAATACAAGCATAAATAACCATAAATTACGCACAAAGGGTATAAAATGAGTATAAAATGTCCCCTTAATGACCCTAAAAGATGTGTGTCTTTGGCACTTATCACAAGTTTCTACACTTTATTCTTGCTCGTCCTCAAGCAAGCTCTCAATCATCTCAGGAAAAGATAAGTGACAAAGATAGCTCAAGATACAACAATTAAGCAAATGGTCCATCAAGATAAATGCCTTTAGAAACCAGAGATGGGGAAATCCTTCATATCATGAATCAAGTGTGTTAAGAATGCGCCCTAATAATGCAACTCAAGGAATATGCAAAAGGAACAAAAACCCCTATCAAAATTATAGAATAAGATAGCAAAGGGAACACACTCTCTACATCACTTAGCCAAGCATGCAACCAATTCAAGTTCACGTCTCACTTTGCAAAGGCCTTAAGCCGAGCCCACTAGTGGGAACGATGTGCACACCCCAACCAACATCCAACCTTAACACCAAAGCCCATAAACATAAAATAATGTGAGGGTATGGCCTGGACCTCTCCCCGCCAATTGGCTTAAACGGACACTCTTTTCTTCTCATCCCCCTAGAATCATTATCGGGCGACCCAACTTCACATGGAGCTCCATGTTTTTTCGAAGGTCGGTGCTATGGGTGCCTGGTTTCTAGCGGGGTGGCTCACCTCCACTCTCTCTTCCCATCTCCTAGGATAACGTCATTGGGACAACCGACTTCACGTAGAGCTCTACGCTTTTTCGAAGACCATGGAATGGAATTGCCTCAAATCCTAGCGAGACGGCTCACCTCATTACTTCTCTCAAGGAGTGACCATTATTTTTTGTCTTAGCCTTTTTCTCTTTCTTCATTTCACTTCAACCCCTCGTGCATTTTTCTCGGGATTCGGGATTTACTCTCAATTCTCACCAATGGCTCACCTTTTGCCCCATGCCTTACCAAAATTTGATCATTTCCAGGCTTCGCTTACAATTATATTTCTAAAGTTGAGGGTTACACACTCCCACTTTGATAGATCATTGACTAAGGTCCAAGCAAAATAGGAGGGGAACAACATGCAAGCATAACAAAAATGTAAACCTATTGGTTTCTAGCATTTCCTCACTTGGTGTAAAGAGGTAACTCCCTAAGGATATACCAAGAATAAAAGCTTTTAAAGTCACATCACCAACACACTTCCGAAATGACATAAACAATAATGCACTCTTCAATATCAAACCACTCGTCAATCAAGCACCATTCACTCAATTTAGCAATGAACGAGCATTAAAGAACGAAGTGCGTTCTTTCCACACTTTAAAATGAACATCGGCCTCGATGTTACCTTGAGGACTAGGTGGAAAAGGAACACGGGTCTAACCCAACTAAGGCCCCTTTCCACACTTTAGAAGTGTTGTTGGGATTTGGGGTGCATAATGAAAATCCTTTGTGAATGATAAATGGAAAACAAAAGAATGTGCACAAAACATTTTCATAGTTTAGAATTGAAAATCGGGGCACAAAATTGAAAAAGGATAGAAATTATCACCCAATGTAGAGCGTAAACACAAAAAATAAATTTTGTATATATTTGCAAAATTTTGTGTACAGCGTGTGTATAATTCAATGTGCAGGTACAAAATCTCTGTGTAGTCCTCTGATTCTTCACTAACGTTATCTACTGAAGTTCCTCCGGGATTCAAGTGGCACGTGCCTCCGGGATTTAAATGGCGTAGCTTCCGAGATTCAAACGGCATAGCTTCCGGGATTCAAACAGCGTGATCTTTAACAGCAAACGTCAAGCTTCGAAGCAGTCAACTCTACAAAACATCAAATTTAGGGCTGTTAACGAATCGAACATAAACGAACGGAGGTTGTTCGTGTTCGTTTGTTAAGGAATTTGGAGTGTGAGTGTTCATGTTCGTTTGTTAAGGTTTTTGAAAATTCTGTTCGTGTTCGTTTGTTAAGCGTTCGTTAGTGTTCGTTAACGTTCGCGAATACGTTCACGAACATGTTCGTTAACGTTAACGAACATGTTCGCGAACGTGTTTGTTAATGTTCGTGAACACGTTCGTAAACATGTTCGTTAACGTTAACAAACACGTTTACAAACATGTTCATTAACAAGCATGTTCAAAAACATATTTATTTACGTGCATGAACACTTAATAAATAAACACCTGCATATGTTCATGATCACAATTTGTTCGTGAACAATAAATAATTTACGTTCACGAACAATAATCAAACAAACAACACAACTACATAACTAATATATAATATATATGTTTGTGAACATGTTCGCAAACATTATTAAACGAACACAAACGAGCTTGTTCACGAACATTATTAAACGAACATAAATGAGCTTGTTCACGCACATTAGTAAACGAACACAAACGAGCTTGTTCACGATCTCTTAGCAAACGAGCTTAGAACTGTTCAAGCTCTGTTCGTTTATTAACCTAGCTCTAAATTTTGTTTGTTAATGTTCGTTTACCTTAACAAACGAACATAAACGAATGCTTACCGAACACGAACACGAGTAGTTTGTCGAAAGCTCTGTTCGCTAACACTCCTAATCAAATTAAAGCGCCTGCAATGGCTTCAAGTTGCCTTCAAAAGGCTTCAAGATCTTCAAAGTACCTACAAAATGACTTTTAAGTTGCTTCAAGATCTTCAAAACCTGCAAAAATGCCTTTAATTCTTCAAGATCTTCAAATGCCTTCAAAAGAGCTCTCAAATCTTCAAGCCTTCAAGTTCAAGCGTTCTTCAATGCCTTCAAGTTCAAGCGTTCTTCAATGCCTTCAAGCTCTCAAGTCTTCAAGTTGTTGTGTTTTGGAATGAAAATGAAGGCCCTCTTTATACTAAAAGGCCTAACCAAAATCCCTCAACAAACACTCTTTTTAACTAATTAATTAGTTAATTATTTATTTAGGAAAATGAATCTTGCCCAAAATAAAGTCCAGGTTCATTATTGTATAATCTAATTCAAATTCAAATTAAATTATAATTATCTAATTCAAATATAATAAAATTATATTATATTTAAATTATAATTATAATTCAAATTCAAATATGAAGTGGGCTTGGACCAATTAATTAATTAATTAATTCAATAATCCAAAATCAAATTTAATGGGACTCATTAAATTAATTTAATTATTATGGCCCAATTAATTATATTGGTCCAATAATCAATCTCGACGCCGACTCAATAATAATTTTGTCTGTCCATTTATCGGGTTCAAATTTTTGGTGTCTACATAGAGAATTTCCCTTTTCATCTCGTGAGGTATGTCCCATTATTCACTTTGCCCCATTATATCACACTACAAAAATGGTTAGTGACATATGTGCATAACATCAAAACAAGGAGTGCAATGGAGTAGGAAAACTACTCCTAACTATCTACACTATTTT